ACTCCACAGTTATGACCTTCCAAGAATTATCCAGAGGATATTCTGGAGTACACTACCATACCAAAATCATCATGAACTAATCACAAATAAATCCAATGTTCATTCTTAAGCAAGAGAACAAGCCCTTCGGTGCTTATCCAAATGCTCAACTATGTGATTCAGTACAACGAATCACATTATTCTCTTTCTGACCAAGACGCAAATCCAGCCCCTACACCCATCAAATACAGTCGTAACTGAGAAACTGGCTTCCATTAACAAGATTTCCATGAAGAATTCATGCTAAAAGAAAACACTTAAAAGTACACAATGTAAGCACTGTAAAAACGAGCCTCCAAAACGTTCCTTTAAAATCTGCCTTTGATAGTATAAGAATAATAAGGGGGGGGGGGGTTTGGTTTTTTACATCTAATGCCCACTAGCATGGCAATTTGGGGAAGTTTTCTTATGTTTTGATTCTTCTCCCTCTCCTCCTCCTTTCTAAGGCAGGTCCTATTTCTCCCAAAGTTAGTTGTGAGCAGCTTAGCTGTAAATATTTGCCCTTCATGTAGAGCCCTCCAGCTGGCTGAAGCGGCAGCTGACAGACATGTCTGTAACCAAAGGGGGAGAGAGAGAGAGAGAGAGAGACTGGGGCGGTGGGGAGGGAGAGAAAATAAGTGAGGAAGGAGACAAAAAGGGGGGGAGGGGAGGAGCTTGACCACTTAGCAGCAAACCCGGACAACCAAACTTCTAGCTCCCTACCCCAACTTCAACCTTATGATTACCCTTGCTTCCCAAGCGCCCTCCCTGCGCCTTCACTACACAGGGAGAGACTTTCACCAGAGGATGCCAAACGTCTGGCACTCGACGGGGGGGGGGAGAGGGGGGAGGTTTTCCCTTTTTGTTGTTGTTCCAAAGGGATATTGCCTCTCACCGAAGCATCTGTCCCAAATCTGCGGCTGAAGCTGAATGTGAAGGAGCGAACTGGTCGGGGGAGGGGGCGCGAATTCCAAAGCTGAAGAGTTTGTCCTTTGGGGACCGGCCACAGAAAGTTGGGGAGGGGGGAGAAAGAAAGAAAGAAAGAAAGAAAGAAAGAAAGAAAGAAAGAAAGAAAGAAAGAAAGAAAGAAAGAAAGAAAGAAAGAAAGAAAGAAAGAAAGAAAGAAAGACCTTCTGACTTATAGCAAGCCTGCAGTGTAGTGACAGGCGTCCCATCCCTCACAGGGAGGATGAAGGCAGGCGGAGGTGCAATCCTACAGAGTGACTCCCCGCGAAATCCAACAGAGGGCTGACTCTGCTGAGGACCGAGCAGGGGCAGGCGCGCGGCCGAGAGAGAGGCAAGGAGACGGCCGTCGGGGGTGGCGGGGACGCGCCGAGCGCGCGCGGGGGCGCGCGGGCCCCCCTTGCCCTCCTCCCCTCCGGCCCGGCCGCCGCCCGGTTCACCTTGGTGGGCGAGGGGGCCGCCAGGCTGCGGCTGAGCGAGTCGAGGCGGGCGCTGTACTCGGTGAACTTCTTCTGGTAGCGCAGCGCTGTCATCTGCAGCTCGAGCTGGACGGCCGAGAGCTGCGAGAGGAGCGACTTCTCCCTCTTGCCGGCTCGGAGCGCTTCCTTCTTGAGCTCCTTCTCGAGGCCGGCCAGCTTGGCTGCGAGGGCGGCGTTGTGGCCCTTGAGCGCCTGCAGGCAGCAGTGCGAGCCGGCCTTGTGCTCGCGGTGGGTGAGGACCAAGCCGCAGCCCTGCTCGCAGATGCCCACCGGCCGGGCCTCGCAGCTCTCGCGCATGTGCGCGTCCACGTCGCGCAAGTTGAGCACCTCGGCGCAGCCCTTGTGGCGGCACTTGGCCGGCGAGTAGTCGCACATCTCGGCGTGCTCGGCCAGGTGCTGCAGCTTGACCACCTTGTCGCAGCCCCGCGCCTGGTTGTCGCACTTGATGTCCAGCTTGAGGATGAGGCTCTTCAAGGGCAGGACGTGGTTCAGCTCCTTGGTGGAGATCCGCTGGCACTTCACTGGGCAGCTGCCCTGCTGCACCACCCAAGGCAGGACGCAGCCGGCGCAGAACACATGACCGCAAGGGGTGGTGAGAGGATCCTCCAGAACTTTGTTGCACAGATTGCATTTGAAGTCGGGATCCACCTCCCCGTTGAACCGATCCAGCTCGAAGCCCATCGCTCGTCCTCCGCTTCCACCCACCAGGCACGCGGCGAAGTTTTCACGAGCAAAAATCTCCAGCAGTCCCCAAATGCAAAATGTAAACGCCCCCAAAAAGAAAAGAAATCAGCCGCACAGAACCACACGCCCTCCAGAGACACAACAACAAAAAAATATCTGTCCTCAAAAGAAGCCCAAACTGCAGCGATCATAGGAAATTATTGTAACTGCTCTCCTTTTTGATTCCTTGCGAGTCATTGGGAACAGCCCAGACTGGCTGGCTACAGGCTGTCTACTGACTGAACTAATTGCCTCAGACTTCCTTGAAAATGCTTGGGAGGAATCCTCTACCACATTGATTGGAGTTAAAGCGCAGAGTTTCCCTCGCCCACTTCCCCGCAGCCCCCCCCCTTCCGTCCCTCCTCTCCACACGCAGCCCTTCTCCAAACCCCTCCTCGCTCTCGCCTTCTTTGGCTTGATTTAACTTTAAAAAAAAAAAAAAACTTTTTTTTTTTCATTCGAGGCAGCTGAGAATGCTGTTTATTCATCTGGATAATCAACTGTAAGGCTTGCTGAATACATTCAAAAAGAAAGGTGGGCTTGTAAAGTCCGAGATATATATCTCTAGGGGGGATCTTTTTGCACAGTTGTGTCTGTTCTACGGACCTGTCAGGTTGTTTTCTGGAAAGCTTTGGGAGCATCATCTGGTGTTCGATAGAATGTGGGGGTGTTTATACAATAGTGTCCGGGAGTTTTTTTAAAAACAGTTCTGCAGAGCTCCTTAGAGCTGTGACTGCTGTTGCAGTCTAATATTGGGCTGGCAGGTTCTTCTGTTAAGTTCTCCTCTGCTGTTTAGTTCTTGTGTTCTACAAAATGATGGTGTTCTTTTGAGTGAACAGTGGGGGGGGGGCGCATTCAGTAATGCAGCAGAGAGAAGTATCTTGCATGTACCATTATCCGAACCTCTGACGGTGCGCTCTTCAGGAGAGTCCAGTTAAGGGTTTAACTCTGCTCTATAGAGTCCTGCAGGGCGTTGAAACAGCCCCTGCAAAAGTAGGGCAACTGGCTACCTATCCTGTACCCTTGTGTTTCATATAGGGTGACAAAAGTGTCTTTGTTCCCCCTGTCCGACTCTTAGCAGCCTGTTTGGAAGTGGTGGGGGGAAAGCAGCCGGCTAAGGTCAAAGGACAATGTCTGCAGCATTTTTAAAAACAGTCCTACCAGACTTGTGAGGCAGGTATTGGGGGCGGGAGTTTTGTAAAAGAGGCTCTGAGTAATATATCAACATTATATCTCGGGCAGCACCCCTCTTGCATTATGAGGTGGGAAGTATACTGCATAGAAGCTGGGGAAAGTGATTCATACCAATGGAGACTGAGAGGGAGGTGAAAGTGGTGAGTGGGGCGGGATATGGAAGCCAAAATAATGCAATACCTTTTATTGAGGCCAACCCAAATGACACAAATAGGGCAGACACAAGAAAGGACTATGAGGAGACAAAGCAGATATCAGAGTCGGTATCCCCACAGACTCTTTCTTCAACAATCTCCAAGTCTGTAATTGCCTATGGTTTGAGTGAAAACTGAGATTCTCACAGCTATGATTACAGATTCTAGAGACATTCTCTCCCACAAAATACATATCACAAGGCTCAAAGCAAAACGGAGAGTAGCCAGAGCTTTTGCATCTTGCCATGTGCAGAACATATTTGCAGAGGACTCTAAAACTGCTTGGAGCTGCTGTATGGGCCCTGCATGGTTTTTGATGCAGCAAGAAGAGAGCCCTTTTAAATGTGAATGGACATCGTGTAGCCAATGCAGATTTTATATTTGGATTACTGATTTAAGCCCAAAACCACTTTAGAGTCACATGTCAAAACACCCATTGGCCTCAAAGAGGAGAAAAGGGAAGGAGTTTTGGGGTTTTTTTAAGGATGGCAAACAAAGGGGATAGGAAAGAAGGAAAGTTGTTGGTTTTCTATTTTTAGCACATCCTAATCCTCAGGTTTAGGTCAGATGTCAGATATTCTAAAATCTAATGTCATAAACGGTGCTAAAGCTCGGTGAAAAAATAAGTAACTCTAGTGTCCCAGAAACTATAATAACTGAAAAGGTACTATAAATATCTTGGACCCTGCATACCCCTTCTTCTTCCTCTATTTGCATTATGACTGCAGTTCATTATGTAGGATAGGACTGTCGAGTGGTAGGGCACAAGTTTTGCCATATGGAACATTCTGGTTGTATTCCTGGTATCCCCTCCTAAAGTGGATCTTGGGTAACTGGGCCATATGACTGACACAATTGAAAAACACTGCTGGTTGACAGTGCAATAATGAACCCAATTAGTGATTCTTAACAGGGCAATCTACAAACATTGGCAGTTTAGGGAACGTTTAAAACTTTTGTAGACAAACGGGGAACATTTGGGATTGTAGGGAATTTTAGGGCTGCAAGGTCTCCTGCTATAGTGGCAGCCCTCGACCTGCCCCTGTCACTCAGGAGGGCAGTAGGGGACAAAAAATAAGCCGAAATCGCTATTGCATAGACAGCATTAAATCCTTTCCAGGGGAAACAGGAGTTACATCAGGGCTGTAGCCGGGGGGGGGGGGCTTTGGGGGCAACATCTACCACAGACGACACCCGCCCCACCGCTGACCTCCACCCAGACCCCCTTCTCTTCCCCCCACCCCCCAAGTCCTGGCAGGGCTGTGGGTGGCCTGACGATTGGCCCACCCAGGCACCTGACTGGCGCAGGCGCAGTGAGTTGCCATAGCAGGCCATTCAGGTCTTCCTGATTTTGCAGCCGGCTCAGGGGCTGAGTTACATCACACCATCAATGCAATGCTTTAGGATCCACCAGAAACATTTCTGGGGAGGACCTGGGAGTGACGTTATGCCATTGGTGCAATGCTCTAGGATTCTCCAGAAACTCCATGATACCGTAGAGTTTATGGTAAATGCTAGAGCAATGTGCCAATGACATGACATCACTTCCAGGTTTGCCCCAGAAATGACATCACACTATTGACACAGTGGTACACCCATGTCCCTGCCTCCCAGTTTTCTACTGTATGCCATCCAAAAGTTATTAACCCCAGGCAACCCCTTCTCCCCACTCGCAGTGGTTTCTGATAGCCAGAGTTTTATAGTGCTCACCCTGCCTGGAGGATAAAATATTATATCAGGGATCCCCAGTGTGGTGCCCATGGGTGCCATGGTGCCCACCAAACCTCTCTTGGCACCTGCCAAGTGTTTTTAGAAAGTGAGTAAGATGGGGTAGAGCTACTGGCCATTGGAGATCTGGTTAGCTATGTAGTTTTTTTTAAACATTGCTTTGGCAGCAGTTGCCACCCCAACAAAAGGATATTCAGGGTATGCCTGAAGTTAAGTTGGGGCAGCCATTTTGTGGCTAGCTTCTCCTCCCGCAGCAGCCATTTTGTGACTGTGCCCATAATGATGTGTTTAGAATTCCAAAGGTGCCCACAGACTCAAAAAATGTTGGAGATCCATGTATTAGATTCTAGATTTCTCCCCCAAGACCTTAAAAAGTGGTAACAGTAAATTTTATTCATTAAGATGCCACTGTTCAGAGACCTGCTTGAGGCATCTCATAATATAAAACAAGGTTAAAAACAAAAACAATAAAATTAACAAGCAAAAAAAAAAATCGAGCCAGTAAAAATCCAGAGTATAAAACAGCATAAACACTCAGAGCATAAAACATTTAGCAGTCTAAGTGATACTCATAAAAGTCTTCAGGCTAATAGCACATTGTAAAAACAATTAAGAAGATCATGCCGCTAATTAAATCCTGGGTTAAAAAAATGTTCTGGACTGGTACCTAAAAGAGAGTAGGGTAGGCACTTTGAATAAGAATAAAACCTAATATTAAGGAGGTAACTGATGGCCATCTGGTGCAAGTGTCTTTATTTATTTATTTATTTTTCACATTTATACCCCGCCCTCCCCATAGGCTTTCTAAATGTATTCTTGATATCATTCATAAATATAAATATAGCTGCATAAAGGAAGCATCCCAGTCTGTAGCTATAATCTTAAATCCTAATATTTTACTTGTAGCTGGGCAGGGAGTCATACAATTATAATGTTAGGTACTTGGTGGGAAGTAGTGGATTAAATGTTAAGGACCACTGGATTAAATGAAATGATTGTGTATTTGGCTTCTACCCATTTGATACATAGATATGTAAGAGACACTAAAAGAATACTGGAAGACAGGCATTCTGGGTAGCTTCCCTCTGGAAGGCTGCAACAGTCCCAAACCTGGGTATTTTTGGAAAGTACAACTATCCAAGTAAAGAAGCACTTATTCTATCAGAGGAGCAGTCTGAATATCCCAGCTTAGCCTGAGCTTGTTAGAATGTAGGAGCTAAGCAGGGCTGGCCACGGTTAATGCTTAGAATGGGAGACTTTCGAGGAAGACTGGGTTTGCTACTGGGAGGAAGGCAACAGCAAACCACCTCTGCTCATCTCTTGCCTGGAATGCCCTGTGGATGGAGTTTCCATGAGTTTGTTGTGATTCGATGGAACATTTTTCTTCTTCATATCAGAGGTGAAAAAATGGCCTCTTTCCCATTCTCCCTTTTGACAAAAGTGTACCTTTGATTTATGCTGGCTACATGTATTTTGTATCTGCCTCAAAATATATACAACACTTATTTGTATCGATTTTATATGTATATGTGTACACACACACACACATATATGTTTAAGACAGATGGCAATAAAATAATGAAAACACATACTAATAGAAATATTTTAAAACACAGAATTTTAAAAGATTTAAAACGTCTTAAGAAGCAGCATAGAAACTGGCCTCATTAAAACAAAAAAAAATGAAAATGCATATATTATTTTCTGACAATAGAACCTATAAACTAGAAATATATAGGATAGCAACATTCAAGTTAGAGAGTGCTTCTACCTCGCCCCACAATATAGCACTTAAAATGCCAGAGGAAATAATATTCATTTTTATCCAACCTTTCGTTCAAGAAGCTGCGTAGCACACACACACACCATTTATTTCATCATAGGACTCCTGAAATACAGGCTAGGTGGAGAGTATATGATATCACCCAGTGACCCTCATGGCAGGGTGGAGATTTGAATCCTGACCTCCCAAAACCTACACAGATACTCTGACTACTACTGCATGCTGGAATAATTTTCACATGGTGTCCCCTAGTATGCAGCCTCAGACCAGGGTTCTTGGCAGGTTGGCCACACTGGTGCCTAAAAGCTTAACAAGCAAACAGATGTGGGGAGGATATTTCAAACCTGAGATTCTGCCACCCAAAGAGCTCTATGTATGGTCACCACCTACCTCTGATGATGGCAACAGATAAGGTTTTCTGTAGAGGCCTGCTCTAACTAACAGGTGTGTTTGTATGGGAGCAGGCTATACTTCTCCCCCAGACCACATAGAACATTACCACTGAGAACAA